CTTATAAGAAATATGTAGAGATTAATTAAAATAGACAAATACGTTAACTGAGTGGAATTATTGACCAACTGAAAGAAAATTCTTGAAGAATATTATTTCAATATAACAAATTCAAATTAACAAATTCCAACTTAGTTTATTTTATTTTCAATTACTTTGAAAGTATAACAATTGCTGCTCAGCCACTGTTCTGATCTATCATATTTGATGTGGAAGATGTTCACAGTCAAGAAGACACAACAATATTGCTTAAATGGATATTTAATTTACCATTTTTAGTTATAAAATATTTTAAACTTTGAGACAAAAAAATTACGATTGGACAATAACAGATGAAATAAATGAGAGGTCAAAAAGTACTTAATCTACTAGAAACATCCTTGAACGAATAAGTTCGAATTATGTACTTTTGTGCAAAAATATGGCCTACGAAATGCCATCGTCCCATTACATCGGAGTGTGGGCCTTCCGATTTATTTCTGGTCCAACACGGGGAGCCTTTAGGTATCTACCTTAAAATGATTCCTTTTAGTCGAATTTTTTTGAGAATCTACAGATTCCCATCTGAATTGGAGTTAGCCATCCAGGAGCTTAACGTTGATAGAGGACGATTAAATTCAAGCAATTTTTGGCAAAGAAAATGCGAATCATAATTCCAAGGATTACTGAATATTCTATAGAATATTGTAGAGAAAGTATCATCTGGCCACAAAAGGATAGCATTTTTATGGGCTGATTTAGCAAAATTCTCTGGAATCCGTACCTATTTCATTGCTATCTGGCTACATTTTGAAAGGAGTTGTTGGGATATCAAGCACATTTGCAGTTTATTTAAACAAGATTATTCATAAATTTATCTTAAGTTCTTGAGCTACCAACTCGGTTAACAAAAACTTTATCTAGCCTAACTTCAGAGCTATCTTGAGTTGAACTCAAGTATTACTAATCTTATTCTTAGTTACATTAGTCATTTATTACATATATGTGTATAGTTTAGATTGTATGCCTAAATAGTGATGGTAATATTTAATCCTTTTTTACACTAAGCATCAATTGTGGGTAGATTTCATATATCTAAAGTGTGTTTTGCCTAAATCTTTTTCGGATAATTCCCTAAATGATAAACAGAAGTATTTACCTTTGTAGTTTGGTGAGACCCATCGTTATTTAACTTGACACTGTTTAAAACTGGCTATTAGCATTTGGTAAATATACATTTACTTAATAAGCTCTAATGGATTTAAGTGCAAATTTAGATAATCTGTGGGCCTACTTTAGATTAATTAGACACCATTTATCCTGAAAAATATGAGTGATTTTCATCTACCATGCAAAGAGAGGACACAAAAGATTATGGTCGTAATGGAAAATGACTGTACTTTCATTCTCAGTGATGGTTTGATTCGGTTTATGAGCTAATTCGGCAGCTGCCCATTCCTTGTCCCATGTCAACCCGCCTGCTATAATGACCTCTTCCGAAAGGTTGGAAATAAGATGGGATATCACAAACTTCTTAAGTTGGTTAAATAAGATTCCTTGTGTCCCAGGTCCAGGAGGAAAGGCGGCATCAAATTCCTGGCTCAGCTTAAGACCAAAGGCACTGACAACACTGAACGTCAGAACCTACGTGGATGGGGATGAGAAGAAAATATCATTTAAATTTAATATTATTATTTAGTGAGAGTAATATAGTTTATCTACTTCAGTGGCAACTACTCAGGGAAATTTTAAGTTAAAAAAGCTTGGGTTTCAATGAATATCTTGTTTCATAATTGTTGGGCTTACCTCCATTTCGAGTGAAAGTTTTGGTGAAGAGATTTGAAGGTTACTTCCACTGGAAGACGACAGGGGATTCCTCTTGACCAGCTGTCGATTGGCTCTACTAGAAAATTCTTGTTGACGATGTTTCCCAGGTAATCTCCTTCGATTACGGTGAAAATATGCTCAGCTTTCGTCCCTCGTATGACTAACATCATCAGATCAAGGTATCATACTTACAAACATATTCAAGCTAGCAAATCAGGAAAAATCACTGAATTATCCCTAAAATGTTTTATATATACCCTATATGTGAGCTATTTGTTGAAGTGTAAAGTAATTTTGTTAGTTCTAGTCATATATAAACCTCGAACCCTTTGAGAGTCGCTGTCTGTGTATGCGCATGTGCCTGCATGGCTGGACTAAGAGACAGTATAGACAAATTACATGACCAAAACTAGCACTAGACAATCTCTTTTTCTGCTATTTTCTTAAGAAGACTCTCTCAACTTACAGAATATGGCGGACGGTCTAGCGGAAATGATAGATAAGATTCACAGATGTCGACAAGTTAAAGAATAATAAAATTTAGGAATTAAAATCACTTAAGGAATAGTCG